CACTCGGTAGTCGCTGCGTTTGCTGCCTTGTCCGGGTGCAAACATGCACTTTCAGTGTGGGAGTGATTTTGCAATCACTTTACGTCTGCTACAGCGAGTTGTTGCCGGAATCACCATCGGCGGTTGCCGACGCAACGTGGACTGGTTCAGCGGCTGCGGTGTTTCTTACTGGTATCGTCAATGTGCTGACAAGCATAATGGCAGCGTGCTTCTTGACCAAATCTTTGCAGATTTTGCGAAGGGTCTTGAGAACGGCGAAGCTCAATGATGCGTCGGTTGCAGCGCAGTTGTCTCTGAGACGAGCCCGACGCTTGGCTGGCCTGCAAACGGTGGGCGTCTCTTGCAGCCTTGTGCTGACAATCTTGGTGATTCCATGCGCTTTTGGCGACTGGTTCCAGATGCCCCTTTGGGCTTTAGTAGGCGCTTTAGCCCTGGATGTCCTTGGGAATGCTCTGGCTGCGGTTCTCCTGTCAGGCGGCCACAGGCTTCCAAAGGTTGACCAGGTGCCTGGCCAACAGTTGGGCTGTTGGGCATGCCGCTGCCAGACCAAAGCCCCACAGGAAAGGGATTGGAGCCCGATGTGGAGAGCAAAAGTTGAAGAGCTCTCCTTGCGGGGCATGACTTTGCGCAGCCTCATGAGCTTTTATCAAGAGACGCTTCTTCCTATGCCCGGCTGGAACTATGCCCCCAGCGACCACAAGACTAGAGATGTGGTCCGTAGGGCCATCATCCCTCTCACCAGCAGGGAGGAATCTGCATATGCAGTTTCGGCTTTGAACAGGGATGGACCTCAAAGAGCTCAGGTTATGGTGACCCACAATTGGGGAAATTGCTGCCAAGGCTGGAATTCAGTGCAGTTTTTGTCCAGGGCTTTGTTTGCTCTCTGACACAGTGAGATAACCCTAAACCCTAAACCCTAAACCCTTAACATCAGTTGGGCCACCAGGGCTTTGATCCGGACAGGTCATTGACCTGAGCAGGTCATTTGCTTGCTCAGAGTTAATAAGGATTAGCATGGTACTGGCATAAATCCCTTGAATTTTCAGCCTTTAAGTCCTAACCGAACCACCGAACCCCAAAGCGTACACCCCTCAATAATGACAATTGCCAGGTTTCAAAGACTTGCTCGCGGCCATCATCTCGGATGCTGTCCAGGAAAGCAGCTTCACTTTGTCAGCAAACCTGTTGGACGAAGACTGCGCATTCGTTTGTGAAATTCTAGCTCAGAGCGGTCGCTTGGATGACACGTATTGGATCTGCGCGTTTGCAGTGAACCAGCACATCTGCATATGCCACAAAAACCCTTACGACCGCGATCCGTTGACGAACGAGTTGCATCCCGTATGTAGTTGCAGCAGCGTGAATTTGGTTGATCCGGATGGCAGAAGCACCGCTTCAGAGGTCAACAAGTTTGATGACATGATGCATCATCTTGTAGAAGCAGGAGGCTGCAGGCAAGTAATTGCAGTGGATCAATCTCTTGACTTGTTTCAACGTGCTTGGTGTGTTGCGGAAATTGCAGAAGCCAAACGTCTGCAAATGAGTCAGGCACTCAAAGTCACATCTAAAGCAACCATCCTGCAACGTGCGCAAACCTTAGCTAATTTGGATATTAGCAGTATGCGTGCGGCAAGCGATGCGGACAAACAACTGATACTCGACAAGATCACAAGGAGCATGAGCATCGAGCAGTTCAACGCAGAGCTTCGATCGCTCATTTTTGACCGGAAATCGGGACTTCTGGCATCTTGGCATGCCATGGACAGCGCGGAACAACTTGCAGAAGTCGGCCGGTTAGTTCGATGGGGGCTTGCTGATGCAGGCACTGGGAAGGTGTGGAAAGCATGGGAAGCCCAAGAATGATCCTGGTTCCCAGTTTATACCAGTTTT